AATACAGAGTTTGATTGATGTATGCAGTAAAAGATATAATACAGAGTTTGTTTGATGTATGTGGTAAAAGATATAATACTGAGTTTGATTGATGTATGTAATAAAATATATAATACAGAGTTTGTTTGATGTATGTAGTAAAATATATAATACAGAGTTTGTATGATGTATGTAGTAAAAGATATAATACAGAGTTTGTTTGATGTATGTAGTAAAATATATAATACAGAGTTTGTATGATGTATGTAGTAAAAGATATAATACAGAGTTTGTTTGATGTATGTAGTAAAAGATATAATACAGAGTTTGTTTTATGTATATAGTAAAAGATATAATACAGAGTTTGTTTGATGTGTGTAATAAAAGATATATAGAGAGTTTGTTTGGCGTATAGTAAAAGACATAATACAGAGGTTGTTTGATATATAGTAAAAGATATAATACAGAGTTTGTTTGATGTATGTAATAAAAGATATAATACAGAGTTTGTTTGATGTATATAGTAAAATATATAATACAGAGTTTGTTTGATGTATGTAATAAAAGATATAATACAGAGTTTGTTTGATGTATATAGTAAATTATATAATACAGAGTTTGTTTGGTGTATGTTTTAAAATATATAATAGAGAGTTTGTTTGATGTTAAGCACAAAGCTACGCAATAGGGGACCTGTTACAGCGGGTATTGAAACCCAGTTTTTAACGTCATAAGCCTAAGAAATTGCTGCTTATAATTTTAAAAACTGGGTAATTTGAAGGGTGGGATATTTCAGACACTTTTACCTACTTCAGTAAAGTTATAATTATATCAATTAAAGATTTTTTAGAAGTATTGAAAACAAAAATATGCTTATCTTGATGGGTGATAATATTTTTTTTATAATTTACAATAGCTAAAATCAGGAATAAGAATAGGTGTTGAATATACACTGTTCAAACACCGAACAGTTCAGTAGGTATTCCACGTGTTCAATTTAGACATCCAGCGGTTCTCTAGGTTTCAGTTTTGGTTATTATATGTATAGATGCCCAGTATTCAACATGTTTATATTTGTTTTTATGTTTCAGTTTTGGTTATCACATATAGAACTGGTATTCAACATATCCATTTTATACAATTCGTGGTTTATAGGATTCAATTTTAGTTGTATATATATATATGTCTGTATACACCCGGATTTACATGTTTTAACATCTGATGGTTCTTGTAGGTTTCAGTTTTGGTTATCACATATACAACTAGTATTCAACATATCCAATTTATATAACTCGTGGTTTATAGGATTCAAGTTTAGTTGTATATATATGTTTGTATACACCCGGATTTCACATGTTTTAACATCTGATGGTTTTTGTAGGTTTCAGTTTCGGTTATTATATATATATATATCTAATACACCTGTATACACAGCATATATTGTAGATTAAATTCGATTTCGTGGGTCTTAGTTTTGTGGTGTATATACACCCATAGACCTGGTATTCTAAACGTGATATTTAAACATTCTGCCATGTTGTAGGTTTCAGTTTTGTTTATTATATAAATATGTCACCGGATTGCACATGTTCAAATACTCCGTGGTTTTCTAGGTTTCAGTTTTGGTTATTATATGTACCCCGGATTGCACATGTTTTAACACTCCGTGGTTTTCTAGGTTTCAGTTTTGGTTATTATATGTATATACGTATCCCGTATGCCGCATGTTCAGCTCGAACATTCAGTGATTTTGTAGGTTACAGTGGCAGCTATTAAGACGTTGAAATTTATTGGTATATATTCTTTATGACGTAGTTTTTGAGACCAGCGATGCAAGTAGAGAGCGTTGGTTGAGCCAGCTCCGTAGAGTCGTGTTCATGACGCTCTTAACATGGAGAGTTCCATATCTCAGAATCCTTCCATGTGGGGGCCAACACGGTAGGGACCTTGTAGGCAAACTGTGGCTGTTATCGTAAAATTACGACGAGATAAATCCCGCTCAATTTGTTTCAAATTACCTAACGGTCTTAGAACTTGTTATATTGACTCATTTATAGACACTTGAGACCTCGTAATTTCTTTTGAAACCAAAATAACTTGAATCGTTGTTGTTGTTGTTGTGTGGAAACTTTACACGAGCTGAGAAATGTATCATATCAGTCTGTAAACTAGAATACAGTTCTATTCAGAATACAAAATATCAAGTTCATTTGGATGAGGTTTTTCCGATATTATGTCTCTAATTATCACTGTCTTTTCAGAAACATTACACAGACTTTATTTTTCTCTCTCTTATGTCCTTTCCAAGAATCTATCTGTTGTGCTCTGTTTTACGCTTCAACAAGTAATAACACAGCATCTGTTTAAGGTTAACCCGTCTAAAGAAACGAGTGTTTTTGTGTTTTCAAATCTTCTCCATTATTAGTTTAATCTCTCTAACTAAGAGTGACAACATGAATTCTCAGTACACCTCTCATCTTCTGGAGGCTGTACAGCTGTCTGTATGGTGTGTTAGCAGCAAGTCTAGAAGAAAAAAATACTGACTGCCATCATGATTTATTAATGTGACAAGTGTGCGAAAAATAAGAACTTGAATAGGTTTCCCAATAACAGTGAGCAACCGCAGACGTGTTGGCGGGTCCAATGGCGGTAGGATACACACAAGAAAGGAGTTCGCCGCCGCACAAGAAGAACGCTGATTGGTCAATTGTTCCTTTCCGGGAAGTCCTAACTATGTGAATACTATGGTCGAATTTAATCCAACACGTTTACTTAGTAAAAAATAGAAATTCAAAATCTGATGTCGAAAGGAGCGAGGGTGGTGGTCAGAGATGATGAACTCTTACTTTGATCAGACTGGCTTTTACAATAGTCAGGGAGCGCCGGAACAATCTTATCGTTTCCCGCAAGGACTCCTTGTTCCGCCGTACCCGCAACCTAGCGCCACCGCCAGGGCAGCACACGACTCCGGCTTCGTCGATACAACTGTATCTTCAGCACCCTCCTGTAAATTGTACACAGCAGTGAGTCCAGACCCAACCGCAGCTTTCAAACCCGAGTGTTTGGTGAAGGAGCAGAACGGGTTCAACATGGCTGTAAAAGACATGTCTACCTGGCCAGCGGGAGCACTGACCGGTGTCCGAGCTGCAGCAATGAGCAACGACGCCGTACGTCCTTTTCCGGGAGATGGCGGGGCTTCTCCGCGTGTGTCAGACGCATGGACAGCTTGCTACCAAAACACCAGTGCCATGTCTCAGGCTTTCTACCCTTGGATGGCGATGGCAGGTTGGTGAATTTCGATTTGAGTTTTAAGTCTTGCTACAGCCAGTTCAGAAACTTTCTGTTGTCTTAAAACTGACCTAAGATGTTTATATCGTGATTCTAAACTTCCCATACGTTGTATAGATTAAGAACTGAGACAACGTTTCTTATAAAGAGCGAGAGAAAAGGTTTCTATGGTGTCCTACACCCCCTATCGTGAATGATCTCCTTAACTGTATCTACAATAAGAGATGTAGACTAGAAAATGATTTGTCCCATTGTGCAGTACTTAGGGTTTTGAGTAAAATGACGAATACGGTTTTTCAATAAAGTGTTACATTACCAAACACTGGGAGTTTGCAGTAAAGTTTCCCATTACAGATAAGCACTGTAAGGAAACCAGCTTTTGGATTTACGGCTGCTCTATCTCGGTTCTGCAACTCAATCTTCGCGCAGCCCCAGAATGGCTGTTTTGTTTCTATGCACGTTACACAATTGTATAAATAATGTTTTATGACTTTCGAGTTAAGTATGCATCAAACAACAATTAACTGTCATTTTACGAAACATCAATCGTTATTTTTGTAGGAACGATTCTACTAAAAATCAGTACAGAAAAAGTAATAGAATTACCTTTGCTATTCTACAGTTTAAACAAGCGATAAATCGCCCTTATCCGAGATATCAGTAATAACCCTCTAGGGAAAGAGCAGGAGGTCATTCTTTTCTTGTTCAAACTGTTATATATCTTCAAGCTATTTTACAATAACTCAAGCTCGTGGCAAATACGTTTGTTTTGAATAAATGTAACCTCATTACAACGTGGCAAATACGTTTGTTTTGAATAAATGTAACCTCATTACAACGTGGGAAATACGATTATTTTTGTTTGTTTTTTTGAAAGTAGGAATTCAACAAGAAGCAACATGTTTATATTCTAATTCGATCGTTCAGGAAGAATTACCATAAATTATTCATCACTATTCGGGTAAAATTATCTTGTCAGTGTTTTCGATTTATCAGAAATTAGTCAAATCTGAAGGAAAACGAAAGAAATTGTGAGTTAGGAAGTGAAAACTAAACAATAAATATGTTTACAATTTTGACATTTTTTATCCGTTGTTTTTAATTTATCTGAAAGCAAACTCGTGTTTCTAAGTCAATGAGAGACCATTATTTAATCAAGTTTTCGTAAACTGACTGACCAATTTCAATACCATATCAAACCAAGTTGTGTTGCAAACAATGATTAGCCCAGAATTAAATACAGCCAATGTACATTGCCTGACAGGTTTTTGTTATTACAATGATAACCAAGTATTAAATATAACTGATCTAAGTTATCTGACAGATTTTTATTTTTACTCCAATGACAACCCTGAATTAAATACAGCGAATCTAAATTGTATGACAGGTTTTTGTTGCTCTAATGACAGCACTGAATTAACTACAGCTAATCTAAATTAACTGACAGGTTTTTCTTATTCAAATGACAACCCTCTATTAAATGCAGTTAATCTAAATAGTCTGACAGGTTTTTGTTGCTCTAATGACAATCTTCTATTGAATACAGCTAATGTAAATTGTCTGATAGGTTTCTGCTATTCCAATAATAGCCCTGTATTAAATACAGCTAATCTAAATAGTCTGACAGGTTTTTGTTACTTCAATAATAGCCCTGAATTAGATACAGGTAATCTAAATAGTCTGACAGGTTTTTGTTACTTCAATAATAGCCCTGTATTAAATACAGCTAATTAAAATTGTCCAATGACAACTCACTATTAAATTCAGCTAATGTAAACTGTCTGACAGGTTTTTGTTACTCCAATAACAACCCAGTATGAGAACGGTCAGTCGAAAGTGTATGGTTGATTTATTATTAACAAACTTAAACCAGTTTTTCTAATTCACAGATTACTGACTCTACTTTGAAGGAGTCTATAAGTATTTGATCCTTATATACCGAGTTCTTGGAATTTTTTATGACTTCATCGATCTTGAGAAATTGATTTTAAAAGCTTATAACTACAGATGATGGGTTATTTTCAACTGCTACAATGTTTCTATGATATACAGTTCGTTGTTCAAAAATAACCAGAACGAAAACTATATGTTTCTCTGATATACAGTTCGTTGTTCAAAAATAACCAGAACGAAAACTATATGTTTCTATGATATATAAGTTCTTTGTCCAGAATTACAACAAGAACTACATCAGAGGCTTTGAAAAGAACTAAAGAAAATATTTTAAGTAAAAAGTTGAACATACCATAAACATATTTGTATTACTGTTTGTTTCTGGCCCAACACTAATATCAAATTTTATTTTTAGGTATATATATATATGTATCAACTAATATATATAGTTATGACATTACAACTGGATCGAAACCATTATTCTGAAGAATGTATGAGTCATCGAACACAAAATATCTGAATTACGACGTTTATGAGTCATGAAACATAAATTATCAGAACTACGACGTTATGGGTCATGGATCACAAAATATCAGAAATACGACGTTTATGGGTCATGAAACACAAAATATCAAACTACGACGTTTATGGGTCATGGAACACAAAATATCAAAATACGACGTTTATGGGTCATGAAACACAAAATATCAAAACTACGACGTTTATGGGTCATGGAACACAAAATATCAAAACTACGACGTTTATGGGTCATGGAACACAAAATATCAAACTACGACGTTTATGGGTCATGGAACACTGGGACACAAAATAGGCTTAGTTCAAGAAGTGTCATTATATCTTATTCTTTAGATTTTCAACTTTTAAAGCCAACACCAGCTGTCATCGTGACAACAGCCAATCCCGGAGCAGCAGGAGCCGGGGGGAGGGCAGAATAAATTACACATCCACTTACGTGTATTCACTTTGAAATGCCTCACGATAGCTATCTAACAATTCAAGTAAAAGAGAAGGACCCAGCGAAAGTCCGGGGCTCTAAGAAGTACCTATTAAGATACTCAATGCTTTGTTCGGAGAAGATGTATAAAAAATAAATCACCGCGAGTTGGGTAGCTCCTGAAACTAAAGATTTACATTACTATCACTTACCTGTGTAGTGTTTTACGTATGTTTAGTTATTCGCTACCTAAAACTTAAAAAAAAAGTAAAGCATCGGTTCCCCAGTTTGTTACTTTTCCACACAAGCACCTTCCATTGGAACACATTTGTGTTTTATGTATGTTTAGTTATTCGCTACCTAAAACTTAAAAAAAAGTAAAGCATCAGTTCCCCAGTTTGTTACTTTTCCACACAAGCACCTTCCATTGGAACACATTTGTGTTTTACGTATGTTTAGTTATTCGCTACCTAAAACTTAAAAAAAGTAAAGCATCAGTTCCCCAGTTTGTTACTTTTCCACACAAGCACCTTCCATTGGAACACATTTGTGTTTTATGTAAGAGAAAGAGATTTCCTAGAAATATGGCCGATTGGAAAAATATGTGTCAAAAATTAGATTCTAGGAGCGGCTGATTGGGAAACGTGAGCCAAAAATTAAACTCTAGAAATGGCTGATTGGAAAATATCAGTTAGAAATTAAGCACCAGGAATGGCTAATTAGAAAATATGATTCAGAAAGTAGACTCTAGTTTTGGCTGATTGTAAAATATGAGTCAGAACTTAAACTCCAGGAGTGGTTGCTTAAAAACATATGAGTCAGAACTTAAACTCCAGGAATGGCTGCTTAAAAATATGAGACAGAAATTAAACTCCAGGAATAGCTGCTTAAAGAAATATGAGACAGATATTAAACTCCAGGAATAGCTGCTTAAAAAATATGAGATAGATATTAAACTCCAGGAATAGCTGCTTGAAAAATATAAACTCCAGGAATGGCTGATTCGAAAATATGAGTCATAAATTAAACTCCAGGAATGTCTGATTGTAAAATATGATTCAGAAAGTAGACTCCAGATTTGGCTGATTGTAAAATATGATTCAGAAAGTAGACTCCAGATTTGGCTGATTGTAAAATATGATTCACAAAGTAGACTTCAGGAGTGTCTGATTTGAAAATATGAGTCAG